GCAAATTAAATATTGGTCCCAGAGAACGCTCTTCCGCCTTCTATTCAATTACTGGGCCTCGCATATTTTCGACTATCGAGAATGTCTGATGTCACCTAATTCTAAAAGTCGCACTAGCTGCCTCGCCAAGCACCCAGGACTGAGAGCATTTTAGGACATGTCCTTGCTGTTACTGTCTATCTTCAGGAGGTTACTAAAGGGCCTTTGGGAAAAAGCACCGCCTTGAATGGACTACGTTAGTTCGTTTAAATTAATACCAAGTTTATAAAAACATAAACACTGTTTGGATATGAACATTTTGCAATGCAGGAACGATAAAACTTGAGTGCACTTTATTGCCAGGGGTAGCTTGAATTGTTTCTTGATTTCAATCCACAGAATATTTCCCGACAAGAACATTTCGGTCATCAATTGTAGCAAATCCGCTTTTTTTCCTTGCCGGACGTGAAGCGTTACGATACGCTCAACACTCGTTCATACATTTCCGTGTATTTTTTACTTTCACGGCACCAAGCTGTCGCGCTGCTTGTGCAAGGAAATGGCTAGCACTCTAAGTGTACTTATTTGTCAATATTTTAGCTGACGGTAAGTAGCAAAATTGAGTTCAATGCAAGCGAATATAAAGCAAAAAGGACGGCAAATCTTACCAGTTTATTCCGACAATGAACACTTCTGGAGACCCATAATTCTTTGTGCATGTGAGTACGGTCTAAAACCAGTTTCTTTATAAAGCAATCGATCCAGTTCAGACGGAGGGGTGAAATTGCGCACCTGATTCATTGAGTGACTCCATGGAAAATATGCAATCATTTTTTTATAATAATGATTGTTTGGTGGAAGAAGTTCTTTAGGGAAACGCTAACTAACTTTATTGTACATTTCGACTTTGGCACACCAGGTCGTCATCAGACGCGTAGAGAATGTGCAGAACAGGGAGTATTTTAAACATTCCGAAAAAATGCTTTGTCAACTTTGGTCAATAGTAGGGCATTTTGGTTGGCGTCTTTTCCATGCTTCCCTGAGATTAGTGTACACTGCGTCCAATTCGATGTGCCTATTAATGCACGAGATTCACAGCATTACTAGATGGGCGAGAACTTACAATGCAAGTTAGGTCCCGTGCGAATGCCCAGTTTTAAGTGTATGCATGGCGGTTTGGGACAGATGATCTCACCTCTACCGCGTATAGAGACTTTCTTCAATAAGTTCCCCTAAACCGATATTTCCTATGAGGAAGCCTAATAAATAATGATGGTTGCCGATGACTTTGCATTCCAGTTCTTCAAGCACGTTAGAGGATTGGGAAAGGGCACATTTACTACCAATGTGGGAAAGATAACTGCTTCAGTCCTGTTTATACCTTTCTTTTGAAACAAATATATGGCCATCAAATTAAAAGATAACGTTTTCCGGTATGGGCACAACAATGTATCAAATGCTAGTAGCACACACTTGGGCATATTCTAGCCATCCGAGTAGCAACCTGACTTCATTTACTTGCACAACATTTCTCCAGTTTTAAAGATCAGTCGTAAACTAACTATACCCACCAGCAAGGTGCAGGTGTACTTACTTTCCCGACAGTTAGATTGCATTTGAAAGCAAACTATTTCCACCTGGTGGAAATATTACCCCACAGAATTGAGCGATATTGAACGTACCGTGGTGTTTTCCGCAGGGCTTACCAGAATGGTTGAGCATACTTTTGGTGGCACAGTTTGAGGGCAGGGACTTAAACTACTGACCTTGCTGGGAACATTAGCGGTGAACAGATAGCGGCAAGCTGTGTGGCAGAACAGTGTAGAATAAAAACTTTAATGATTTTTTGTATTGAACATTTTCTCATCCCACGTAGGTTTTAGTGTCGTTGCGGTAAGTACTCTAAAAACGGTTAACTCCTTTGGTGAGGTTAAAAAATCATGTGAAAATCTGAATAATAATAACAGCCTAAGCTCAAGTTAAGCACATCTGCGTCACACCGAAATACGGAGGTTTTCGCAACTAAATGAATTCGCAGGAACTATAAGTACTTTCTGTGATCTAGCGGAACTTCCTGGACTAGAGGAATAACCGGGTTTTGTCAATCATTTTATACGGTCTAATATGTGCAAAAATTAGAGGTCCATGTATAATATTCCTTTTATCATCCCCGGAAGAGGAAGAAGAAGGGGCGATTTCTGGGACCAAGTTGTACTCTAGCTGACGTTACAAAAGCCTTCTCGCTTCCATCGCCAGAGCGTGGTGACTGTTCTCCTGCTGGTGTGAGTACGTGTTTCCAATCGCTAACCTGATGCCTGATGCCCGTGTGTCAATCGATTGTACCGATTGATTTTTGGTGGCTTTTTGAATTTCCCACACCCTCGCGGCCGCCTCCATGAGGCATGATAAGTCGCTTATATGCCTCCTGAGCGTTTCCACCTTCTTAGCTCGCGGCTGCCGGCTGTCGGCCCTGCAAATCTTCCTCCACCCGACCTATTGCTCAGTTCTGAGCAGATGTTAGCCTTCTGCTGAGCGCTTGGTAGGTGGGATGAAGGTCTATGGCTCTGTTTAGTGTGCCAATCGAGGAACAACTTTCTAGCAGCAAGCTGGCCATCTTGTCATTGGCTCAGCATATTACCCTTGCTTTCACAAAGGCGAACTTTTGGTTCTGCCGCACGTGCTCATACGCCATAGACAGCTAATCATTGCGGTTTATTTCGAGCTGATGCTCATGCAACCTTGTGCCAAGGCGTCTGCCCGTTTCACCAACATACCTTGCATTGCAGTCTCGGCATGGTATGCTGTAGACCACAACTGATTGTTCTGTCAACGGTAGCGAGTCTTTGGGCCTCATAATCTGCTGTCTGATGGTTGACTCCGGCCTCTGAGCCACACCGATCCCGAATGGTTTCGCGATTCTTGCAGCGGCCTCTGATACATTCTTCACATAAGGGATTGCTAGCCAGAACATAGGGTCTTCTCCTTTCGACCACTCGTGGTGGGGCTTCCTAAGGCACTTGCGTACAAACGACATTGGATAACAGTTGGCCTGAAATAGGGCATGCAAGTGCTTAATCTCCTCCTTTTCCCAAGTACAGTAACTCCTTGAATATCATGACCACTCAAAACAAAATAACGGAACGAATGTGTAACACGGTATAGGAAATGGCCATTTATGTCCTGGGCATGTGATTAAACAGTCATGTCGGCGATAAGGCAAACCGTAGGCCAAAAAAGGCCTTGCGTTTATTTTGAGGAGTCACCGAACCTACACACAGAGTTGTCTGCGCATATCAGTTTCTGTAAACGCTTTCTTGTGAACTGTCGAAGAATAAATGAAAAACTGTAATCTGGTATCGTGCTCAGTGTTAAGGGCTTACAATCCGTGAACTCCTCTGAAATTCACATTTCCGCGAGTTAACATGAAAAGCTTCATACCCCTTGAACTCCACGATAAATTTTTTTAAAACTTAAAAGGCCTTCATAAAGTCTCCTAAACCTAATTAATCTGTGTAACGTTTATAAAAATTGTCCATGCTCTTGAACAATGTACTGTATGTTCTTAAATATACTTTAGAAATGTCAAGAGATGAAAAATCCCACAGTATATGGAAACTCTGCAGAATGTACTCTAGATGAAAACCTGTGAGAATAAAAGCGCAAAGTTGCCCGGGGTTACTATGTTGTCTAGGATTTCTAAAGAGTAGGAGCGAAGGTCATTTGAAAGCAGAACTTTCCTACGCATTGTTTGCCCATAGCAATAAACAAAACGGATACGTTACCATGCATTAAAACGCTTTTATGTCTCGAAAATGTGTTCGATGTTTGGCAGAGGATGGCAAAGTTGATAACTGCAGTTTATCTGTATGAATTCTTGAAGTATAGGCTGGTCAGCTGTGTCTTCTAAAATCTATGTGTTGCTGATTCTACATAGTCCGATTTCAAGGACTTTATTCGGTTTTTATTTTGTTTAATACAATCCGTCTACTTATATGAATTAATTACCAATGTGAATTAGGTAGCTTTAATATAAAATGCACAAGTCCGCTCGTGCTTCGTGCCAATTATAGGTATCGACGATATTTTCGATCATAAAGGAAAAATCATGTCCTTTTTTGGTTCCTCTCCGGCTAAAGGAAAAGATCATAACAGAAGAAGAAGCTGGCTCTCCCATGTTATGTTACGACCGCGACAGTTAAAGCAAAGAATAAGATTCCTTAACCAAGCCCTCAGGAAGCATACCAGTACAACGGTATATTTATGGTCTGATTAGTCGGTTCTGCATATATCTCCGTGTAACGCACTGACAGCTATATCGCTACAAAATCTGTGCGATTTCTGAATAGGAACAATTTCGGAAATATTAGACTTTTCCTATGTAGCTTGAAAAGCAATAAGGTGATGCCCTCATTGAATCTTCAAACAAAATTAGATTTTTCTTATCCGGCCTAAAGTAAAACGTACATGTTTGATTATTACAGTCTTAGATTACTTCAACGTGTTTGCGGAAGAACCACGGGTTTTTACTTGTGATGGAGCGGAACTTTTTTAAACTACATAGTTGAGCGTTGGAGTATACTTTGATAGAACTAGGAGCCGAAGCACGAAAAGCACTCCTCAAATCATGCACAAGCTTTTAATAATGTCGTCCAAGAAGTTCATTCTTTTTGCTATAACAAAGAGATGACACGAGCTATGTACATGTAGTATGATCCTTCATACATGCTGGTTATTTTTTCCATGCAAATACTACAACTAGGTATACTTCTACCTCAGCTTAACTTTAAAAATACAATCGAATTTGACCTGTGTTTTAATCTACCTTTTCAGTATTACTGTAACCCTCTTCTTTTAGGTATGATGACACAGGAAGAGCTGGAGCTTTACCGCGCTAGCGTTGAGGATTGTTCTTTTGGGGTGTACTTCCTGCCCTTGGTCTGGGCAGAGGACCTGGTCGACAAAATGTACCAAGAAAAATCAATAAACCACAAACGCAAAGTCGAGTGTTTAATTCAGGAACTCCTAGCTGGTCGTCTAGCTCTGGCCACGCTGTACACTTATGATATGCTGAAGGTTCCATTGGTTTACACACAGGTAGGACAATGCAGCCTGTAATTAGCGTGCCCTTTATCCTTATTATAAACGTACATTTTTGTCGCTAAGTATACAGGTTAACCCGAACATTTAAATGCTAAGTTTGGAGAAGAGCAGCACAGATATTCCGTTTGCAACTCGGCTTTTAGAAGACATAGTTTTCAGAAATCCTTTTTCTGGCTCAAAAGCGCACGCTGTTTATCGTGTTCACAGTTCTTTTCTCCGATTTTTTCTGATTCCGAAGAAATCATAAAGGTCTCCTAATATGACATACTTCATCCTATTCGATGAAGAGCGAGCTGTTTCTCACCGAGCCCAATTTAGGTATGTGGTAGAAAAAAATTGATTAACTGCACATGTCTAAGAGTTAAGTGGACAGACGAATCAGCCTTCCGTATCTTCAAAAGAGGAATAAGGATCGTTTTGGTTGACATAGTAAAAGTATGCGGGGTAAAACGTCAAGTTGAACCAATGGCTCTGTGGAACAGATTTAGTGTACTCCTGACAGTTGGTAGAGTTTGATCGCCTTATTTTTGCAAATTCGTTAAGTATAAGAGTAAAAGTTCATTTTAGGGTCCTAACTAGTACGCGAAAACCCCATCCTTCTGTAATACGGGAGAGATGATAAATGGGTGGGGTATATCAGGAAGAAGAAAGTTAAAAGTTAAAAAAAGTAGAACGCATAAAAGTAAAAAATGATAAAAACAATTATTTAAGTAATCAAATAACCGAATATTTGCGTGCGATAATTAAAACGGTCCAATATCACCCAATGGGACACAGCCGTCCACTCTGTATCTACCGTATATCATCTTGCTAGAAAGGTGATTTAAAGTTTATATGGAGTCGACAATTCTGTCCAATCGGGCACAATTGGGCCATTTCAATTATCACGCGCAAATGTTGGGTTATTTAAATAAGCTGTTTGGGACCTTAAATTAAACTTTCACCAGTATGCCAAGTCAAGCAACGGATATGCTCGTTTCTGGATCTAGTCAGCTTTGAGGTGATAGATGTTCTGCCGTCGTGACTTTAGCCTTCTACTGGGCGTTGGGCTCGCCTAACGGTCGGACGCATAAATAGTCACCACCTTGATGGGGCTCGTTAAGACTCTGCCGGATTTGTTTGGCCTGATGACTATGCTGCCTATCGGGTGAGTTCTACTTCGGGCGGTTTCTGGTTAATTTTCTCAAGTTAAAAGTCCTCGTTTTGCCTTTATCTTTGTGTACATAATGGCGTGCGAATTTACAAGACACATGAGGGTCATGTTGCCTGTTCAACCAGTTGGCACGTCCCAAGTTTGAGTCTGTCGCAGCGCAAACAAAACTTGGCCACTCCATAAAAGAAGATGGAAAAGTCGAACGCCAATTTTGAGGGTTCTGTACTGTACTGTAAACTGTAAGGAAGGATTGCTGAATAGGATTAACTAAGTTGCCAGTCGGACAAAGGCACATGTCCGGTGGAATCAAAAAATCGCCAAGAGTGAGAATATGTCTGAGTCGGCCTTGGACTTGATCGATCCGCTTGGACGGATGGCTGTGATTGGTCAAGGGCCAGATTGTTGTTGGTACGCACTAGTAGGTACGCACGAGAGGCGGAACATTGCATTAGGCATTCAGGACAAGGCCACTACAAGTAATTTAGTCCATCAATGTGAAAGTTCAATGTGAACAATTGTCAGGGCAGCCAAAGGGGCGCCAAAAGCCCGTGTCAGCGGAAGACGAGCATGTTGATCAGCTCAAAGTTGACTAGATCGGCCGGTCAGTCGAACTTAGCGCACTTACAGAGGTGAACAGGCCAGACTCTCCAAAATGTTTGCACTTGTAGATGCGATAGTTAGGATTGAAAGTACGTATGGGAAACCGAACAAAAAATTGCTGATCCACTTACACGAGCACAAATCGGCAACCCAAATGGTAAACAAAAAATCTCAACTTGCAACAGACTTTGCAGAAAGTGATCATACCTTCGACAG